ATAGATAGATAGATAGATAGATAGATAGATAGATAGATAGATAGATAGATAGATAGATAGACAGACAAATAAATGTTTTTGAAGCATGATTGTTTCAGGGACTTAGGATGTAGCTAAGTTGGTAGAGTGTTTGCTCGGCATACACAAAGCCCCAGATACAAGTAAACTCCAGCACCAAATACACTGAATGTGGTTGCTTACCTCTGTCATGCCATTACTCAGAAGGCCGAGGCAAAAGGATCAGAAGAAATTCAGTGACATTCTCAGTCACACAGTGAAGTCAAAGCCCGCCTACACTTCACTAATCTTGTCTAGAAAACAAAAAAAAATTTCAAAATATTACCAACACAAAATTAGTGAGATCTTTTGTTTTTTTTTATCTACCCCAGACTAAGACTGCAAAATACATTGTGTATGAAAAAAATGGTTTACCTGGGCTTAGTTTTTTGTAAAATTTACAGTTAAAAAGAGTCATGCATCACACTTATTCAAGGCATAATTAAAAGGTTTTCAATAATTGAATGGGACTAAATGGAGCATTTGTTTTAATTTATATTTTTAAATTATGCATTTATAATTTAATATACAAGAGAGAGAGAGAGAGAAAGAGAGAGAGAGAGAGAGAGTTGAGTTTTTGACATCAACCTAGGGTCCTCAAGTTAAGTTTGGGAACAAGTACCTTTACCTAATAAGCCATCTTGCTGGCCTCTTCATTTTTAATTTGAAAGAGGGTTAAGTACTAAGTTGACCAGGTGGGCCTTAAACTTGAGATCCTCTTATATCATTTAGCCTCAAAAGTAGCTAGGATGACAGGCTTATGTCACCAGGCTTTTTATTTTAATGACTGTGTATATGTTGTATAGGTGTGTGCTCAGCTGTGCCTACTCCTGTGGAGGTCAGAGGTCAACATTAATGTCTTCCTCTATCTGTTCTTTACTCTTTGTCTTAAAGACAGGCTTCCCACTGAACATGGAGCTCACAATTTCAGCTATAATGGCTGGCCAGCAAGTCCCAGGCATCTACCTGTCTGCCTGCCTGGGGATGGGATTAAATATGGGCACTCAGCTCCTTTGTGTACGCTGAATCATCTCCCCAGCCTGTTAATGCTAAGTTTTAAATTAAGATTAGACACTCTCACCCTGGTCAGACTGGCTGCATTTCAGCTGTGGGCAGTGTGACCTGCCTTACGTTGATGCCTTATCCTACAGTCAGTGTGGCAGGCAGGAACTGATAGCCTAAGCTGGAGGAAGCACAGCAGTCAGACTGCCTGTGTTTGAGCCCTAAGTCCTCTGCATATTATCTGAGTGATCTTTAGTGAGAGAATTCATCTCTTTTGGCCTCAGTAACAGGGCACAGCAAGGGTACCCACTGCAGAGGGCTGCTGTAGAACAATGTCTGGCTGGGGAAGCAACTACTTACCCATCTTACGCATGAGAAGACAGAGACCCTTCTCAGCCTCTATTGATGAACATGGCACAGTCAAGCCACTGGATAGCGGGAAGGGGACACACATGAGGATTCCGGGAAGTCAGAGATGCCATTCTGTCACCTGCAACTGCTCACCTGTCACAAGATTTTGACTATCCTGTTTTGTTTCTATACCATGACTGCAAATGCTGTCACTAGAGGCTCTAGGAAGACTGCGGCTAATGATTGCAATCCTGGGTTCAAATCCTATAACCTTAGATATAATCTTGAGAGTTTAAATTTCTGTGGCTCAGCAGCTCTACCTGGAAAATGGTGATAAGAGTACTTCCCTAAATCAGACTGGTAACTGACCTGGTTGTCATCATAGCACCTTCATCCAGTAACTGATGGAAGAGAGGGAACGGGGATTACATGAGCAAAGGGGTCAAGATCATGATGGAAAAATCCAGAGAGACAACTGACCCGAGCTAGTGGGAGCTCACTGACTCTGGGGAACCTGCATAGAACGGAACTAGAACCTCTGAATGTGGGTGACAGTTCTGTGGCTTGGGCAGTCTTTGTGGCCACTGGCACTGTATCTCTAGTGCATGAACTGGCTTTTTGAAGTCCATTCCCTATGGAGGGATATAGTACTCAGCCTTGATACAGAAGAGAGGGGCTTGGTCCTGCATCAACTTGATATGCCAGACTTTGTTGACTCCCTTACCCTTTCTGAGGAGTGGATAGGGGGTGGGTAAGGGGAGAGATGAGGATGGAGTGGGAGGAGAGGAGGGAGGAAGAATAGTGGGTTGGCATATAAAAGGAAAAAACCTTTTAAATAAAAAAATTTAGGGCTGGAGAGATGGCTCAGTGGTTAAAAGCATTGCCTGCTCTTCCAAAGGTCCTGAGTTCAACTCCCGGCAACCACATGGTGGCTCACAACCACCTGTAATGAGGTCTGGTGTCCTCTTCTGGCCTGCAGACATACACACAGGCAGAATATTGTATAGGTAATAAATAAATATTTTTAAAAAATTTAAAAAAATAAAAAAAGAGTACTTACCTGGGGTTGGAAGTATAGCTCAACTGGTAGTACACTTGCCTAGCATTGCTCTACCTCTAGCACGACAGGAACTGGGCATGGTGCTACATGCCTGTCATCCCAGCATGCCAGAAGCTGAGACAGTAGGTTCAGAAGTTCAAAGTCATCCTTGGCTACATGTAGACAGGCTACAGGAGACCTTGTATCTAAAACAAACAAGTTCATATAAAGGGGTTAAAACAGCACTTGATACATATTTGGTATAAACTGCTTAGGACATGGTATTAGTGTCTTGACACAGAAACTTTTGTTTGGTTGGGTCATTCTTAACTTCATTATTTTTTTTTCAACTTTTAAAATTACTTTTTGGGAGATGGCATGCGAACGCATGTGTTTTAGTCACTGCACAGCAAGTTCCCTTCTCTTTCCATCCTGTGGGTTCCAAGGATCAAACTCAGTTGTCAGACTTGGAGGCACTTTTCACCTACTGAGCCATCCCACCAGCCAGCACCATTTCATGGGCCACCAACAAACACAGGGAAAACCTGGGGAAGCTGCACTGTGTAACCCTTTTGTATAGAAGCGATGTTAAAGCTGGGGAAGGAGGAGGCATAACGGCTTACTTTCGACTGCATCAAATTAAACCTGGCTTGGTGGCTCACTCCTATCTTGCCAACACTCAGGAGGATAGGGCATTCTAGATTAGCTGGGACCACACAGACTCTTTCTACTAAAAAAAAGCGGGGTAAGGCAATTAATAAAATCAGGTAGTAAGCCAAGATAATAGCCACAATTGCTTCAAAGGTGGCGCTCCGGGGATCTTTATAAGAACTCCTAGGGTGCTAGAGAGATAACTATCTTTGTGGTTAATAGCACTTGCTATTGCAAAGCCAACAGACTTCACAAGTGTTGTAACTCCAACTTCAGGGCATACAAGGCCCTCTTCTGGCCTCCATGGGGAACGGGCACAGTGGTGCACCGGCATCTACATAGGAAAAAAAACACAGGAATAAAATAAAAATGCATAAATAAACAAACCTTTAAAATAAAAATAAGACAGATCATTTGAAAGTTCTGGAATGTTCTTATTCAGCTTAGACGAGAGAGCCCCAGAAATAAAGCCATCTTCAGAAAGCGCTCAGGACTGATCCTTCTCCTTGGCTCCCCACAGGACATGCGGAAGCCCTCAGAGGCAGCACGTCGCTGCTCCGGCCTGGCTCGGCGGGCGCTCACGATTACGTTCGCCTTGCTCATCCTGGGCCTCATGAGCTGGGCCTACGCCGCCGGCGTCCCTCTCGCCTCCGATCGCTACGGCCTCCTGGCCTTCGGTCTCTACGGGGCCTTCCTCAGCGCGCACTTAGTGGCGCAGAGCCTCTTCGCTTACCTGGAGCACCGGAGGGTAGCGGCGGCTGCGCGGCGCGCCTCAGCGAAGGGACCCCCGGACGCGGCCACCGCACGCAGCGTGGCGCTCACCATCTCCGCCTACCAGGAGGACCCCGCATACCTGCGCCAGTGCCTGACCTCGGCGCGCGCTCTGCTGTACCCGCGCGCGCGGCTGCGCGTCCTCATGGTGGTGGACGGCAACCGCGAGGAGGATCTGTACATGGTGGACATGTTCCGCGAAGTCTTCGCCGATGAGGACCCCGCCACCTACGTGTGGGACGGCAACTATCATCAGCCCTGGGAACCGGCGGAGGGGGCGGGTGCAGTGGGTGCCGGTGCCTACCGCGAAGTGGAGGCGGAGGACCCCGGGCGGCTGGCGGTGGAGGCGTTGGTGAGGACGCGCAGGTGCGTGTGCGTGGCGCAGCGCTGGGGCGGCAAGCGCGAGGTCATGTACACGGCCTTCAAGGCGCTGGGAGACTCCGTGGACTACGTGCAGGTGAGTGCAAGGTATCCCGTGCCCCCTGTGAATGTGATCTCACACCCTCCACTTCAGAAAGAGTAGAGTGCATGCACCCCAGGCCCTGGGAGGTGGAGGCGGGAGGATCAGAAGTTCAAAGTCAGGCTTTGCACTTTGAAACAGGGGACGCTGTTTCAAACAGATTTGAGGGAACCGCTTCATTTCCTCTTTTTATTCATTCGGTGAAGAAATCTTTCAATACTTACTCGTGCTTTTATCCATCCTCCAGCAGATTATTTCTTCAATGTAGAGTCAACCCTGTCTTCTCTTATTTATGTATGCGTGCTTGTGTGGTGTATATACACGTGTGTGTGCACTGTGGAAGCCTGAGGAAGACATCAGGAGTCCTGCTCTTTCACTCCCCTCCTCCCTCATTCCTTTGAGACAGGACCTCTCATTGAACTTAGACGTAGGTTGGCAATCAACAAGAACAAGTGCTCCTCTTGTATACACACACACACACACACACAGAGAGAGAGAGAGAGAGAGAGAGAGAGAGAGAGAGAGAGAGAGAGAGCACTATGTTACAGGCATGCATATGCAACCACACCTATCTTTTTACATGGATGTTGAGATTCAAATCCGGGTTCTCAAGCACTGTTATTCTCCTAGTTATCGCCCCAGGCTCAAATCCTTTCTTATCTCATCATTCACCACACACTCAGACAGAAACTCTAATTCTTCCATTTCACTCATTTATTCATCAACCATTGATGAACTGAATTAATATGGATATTTAGTCAATCTTATCCCTCCATTTGATATAATGGTTCTTCCTTTTTTCTTACTTTGGTGTGATTCTTTCATTCAATGATACACGTATCTGCATACACACCCAATACAGTGCTCATTCACTCTACCCATTTGTATACTTGTTGTTGTGACAAAATACCAGACCAAAGTAACTTAGAGAAAGAAGGGTTTATTCTGGCTCACAGTTTGAGGGTGCAGTCCATCATGATAGGAAAGACATGGATTTGGGAGCTTGAGAAAGTTGGTTACACTGCTCCTGCAGATAAGAAGCAAAAAGAGAAAAGGAAGTGAGACCCACTATCTGGTCCCCACCTCCTAAAGGTCATACAACCTTCCAAAACAGTGCTACCAGCTGAGACCAAGTGTTCAAAAACACGAATCTATGGGGGACATTTCACATCTAAACCACAACACTGAAAGAAGAAATTCATTCCCTCTTTCATTCACGTAGCCACTGAAGACAGAAGGAAGCTCTGAGCATACATTCACCCTTTCATGCAGCCACTCATTCATTTAATACAAAGATTCAGTCACTCAATCACTCACCCACAAATCAAGACATTTGATATAATGTTTCTTTCTTCATGCAATATGGAAAGGTTTCCCTTCACCCTTCTTTCCATCCATCCAGTGTGAACCTCATCCACTTATTCATTCATTAGCTTACCCTTTTTATATAGAGGTTTGTTCCCCCTTTCCTTTTTGCTTTCTTTCAATGTTGAGACTTTTGTCACCCATTCATCTATGAAATACAGACCATTATTTCATCACACATCCATCCATTCAGTGTGATCATTCACTAACATGCTACTGTCTTTGTTTCTTCTCCTGTTGCTCTGAGAAAATACCTTTACAAAAACACCTTAAGGGAGAAAGGGCTTCCTTTGGCTCACAGTTCTCTGGACAGGAAGTCAAGGCAGAGGAGCTGGAAGCAGCTGCTCACACCACCTGCACAGCTTGTGTGAAGCTCACGTCCACTTTTTATATAATCCAGGATCCCAGCGCAGGGAATAGTGTAAACAATCTACAAGCCATTTCAAGGGCTAGCCCTGTGTAGGATTCTAGTCAGACCCTATTCCCATTCTTTTCACAGGTCTGTGACTCAGACACAAGGCTAGACCCCATGGCACTGCTGGAGCTTGTGCGAGTGCTGGATGAAGACCCCCGGGTAGGGGCTGTTGGAGGTGATGTGAGGATCCTTAACCCTCTGGATTCCTGGGTCAGCTTCTTGAGCAGCCTGCGATACTGGGTAGCCTTCAATGTGGAGAGAGCTTGTCAGAGCTACTTCCACTGTGTGTCCTGCATCAGTGGTCCTCTGGGTGAGTGAAAGCGGGGCTTGGGAGGCTTGTGGGTGCGTAAGAAGGGAGAGAGGGAGCCAGAGGCAGGGTAAAGTTGTGGACAACGATAGGGCTGGGGTCGGAATTGCAGACAACAAAGATTGGAGAGTAGGAAGAGATGGTGTTAGAGCTGCACTGGTTTGCAGCAGAGAAATGAAGCTGGGAAAGGGGGAAGGATGCAGATTGGGCAAGTTGCTGCGAAAGGGCTTGTGGAAGGGAGATGAGATTGGGGTGGAGATGGGGTTGAACAGGGAGGGCACTGAGAATGCTGGGGCATTGTGGGAGGAGCGGTGACTTTACAGTGCATGGTCATGTGACAGACACATTGGAATGGGCAGATAGGACTGGTGCTGTATTTGGGGTGATGAGGAACAAGGCTGAGACTGGGATGGAGATGAGGAAGCACAGAGTGGGAAACAGAGATGCACTGAGCACAACACTGACCACATCAGAGGCTGATGCTTGGGTACTCCCCACCCTACCTAGGCCTGTACAGGAACAACCTCCTGCAGCAGTTCCTGGAAGCCTGGTACAACCAGAAGTTCTTGGGCACCCACTGCACTTTCGGGGATGACAGGCACCTCACCAACCGCATGCTCAGCATGGGTTACGCTACCAAGTAAGTAGAGGAGACCATGTGGTCGTGTGTGTGAAGAGTGTCCCTGAGTGAGAGAGAAAGAGGGTCCACGAGGCAGAGGACAATATCAGAAGAGGTAGAGGAACCACGTGTATTCAGTCAATGGCCTT